GATACCGTAGATGGCAGATGATGATAATACTGATAAGAACCCAATATTACGAGAATAAGTTGGTTGGTACACGAGTAAATGAGGGAGAACGAGCGAGAGGGGACCCTCAAGTCACTCAATCAATTGTTCCTTCTACACAACTTGCTTCCTTCCTTGTCAATCAGTACTTTTTGTTGGAATAATTGCCGTAAATGAAAACGAAATGAAGGGAGGTGGCAGACACACAGGGCGCAAGAGCAAGGGTTGACCACTGCAGCGGAAAAGTGGACCATTCTCAGAGGTAAAACTAAAACAAATAGATCGTCTCGACTCGATCTCGTATTATTATTCTTATTACTTCGCATAGGTGCATGTGCGTAGGTACACGTGTAGTAGCACATCAGTCATAAAATATAAAGTGGACTATGCAAAGTCGCACAATCCATTTATAAACAAAATTCATGACTGACATGGAATGAAATGAAATGCATTCTCGATTATTTGCGTTGTAGGATGGATGGCAATCACTTTTGTTTGCTCCAACTAAGCCTTTACGACTTCTGAGGTTGAGGTTCACTCTCTACGAACGAATGTTATCAATGATATGGGTCGAATGTGTGGCACGGTGTGTGTGGTGTCAGTGCAGGGATGTGAGCAAAGTGGTTGAATAATGTGAAGCCATATCAATTCCGCCGTGCCTCTGTAGATATTTATTACGAGATGTGCAGTTAAGAACAACTAACTACGACAACTACTATCTCCATTCATCACTGCAACTTCCGTCCAATAATAAATGTATAAAAAGTGCATGATTTTAACACAATTAAAACTTGACCTGCACTACTGCATGCATGCATGTTACTTCCAACAATGAATACAATTCATGACAAAATACAACCACATGACCTATTAACAATAAAATCAAAATGCAGATATGTACATACATAACGCAGGGGTGTTAAATGCTACATAATTCACACCAACAACAACGCGCTTTACAACTCTTCCCTTAAAATACCATGTTTTCAAATTATCAATAATTTTTGGGGGGAAAATGATGAAAGTGAAGTGGATTCGATCTCTATAAACCAATTTAGTTTTTTTTGCGTTAGTGCCGACAACATTCTTTCGAGTTGCACCCCTTTATAATTAATTAATTAAAAGTTGTGTACAATCCTCGGCAGCTTAGGGGATAATTGCTTCATATGAAGGAGCCGATTCCGGTTTGGCAGGTGGTGGTGTGGTTTGTTGAATATGATGAAGAAACCAGGGTTGAACTCGTGAGTGGGAATCAACCCCGTCATAAATCAAATATTTCAGGAACAACAATTTCTGCAAAACATGGTTTCCTCGTCTCCTTCTTGCAAATAATAAAGCAGACCAGAAGAAGAAGAGCGGACCGAGATCGTCATCGTCAATACTCTCCTTATTTATCGGAAAGTATGAAAAGCGTGTGTGTGTGTGTGTTCCTACGTCTCAAAGGACGAGACGAGATCAGCCAGAGTTTCTGGGACCACAAATGTAATAAGACTGGTCCATCGATCGGTGGGATTGATGATTATTATGAATTTACTGCTGTCGACCCTCATTCATGGCGAAATAATGATAAGCAATTCCCATCCTATCTGCCTGCTTCAATAATGGGATGATTACGGGAGAAACAAGGAAATTATGACAAAATACCAAGAAGTAGCTGTGTAGTTTAAGTAGGAAAGTATGCACAGCAGATACCACTTACAAACAACTATTTCAAGTAATTCGGCTACAATTACGTTGCTGAAATTATAGGGAAAGGAATAAGCTCCATTGAAATAGTAAAATTTCATAATCTGGTTCAATTATTGAATATTTGTTTAACGAGGAGACAGTCCCACGCAATAAATAATACGCAGGTGGTGGTGGTGGCATTGATATCATTTGTCAAGTCACCAATTATTTCCAAGGTGTGTTTATTTTCCTAAATGTTAACAGTTGATTCCGATGCTATTGACCAAGATGGGTTATCAGACTGCAAAGCTGAAATAATAAGGTTGCGATCTGTATGTTGTGTTACGTTACCTGCAATAAGAATGAACCGTTTGAGGAACTGAACTCGGATGCATGGATGACGAGATGAGTGCTTTTACCAGGTCGGGATCGCCAAGGTGAACATAATTTAAAAACTGGACTGGATTTACCTCTAGATTCTCTCTTGAATAGAAAAATAACGTGCCATTACCAACAAAACGTTACTCCCCTCACACGGATAACATAAAACATATCGACCATCGCTGAAAAAGTGAGCAAGTGTATCGAGGAGTCGAGGAATCAAGTCCTGTGTGTGTACAAGGTAGCGAAAATGCTTCACTTTTCCGTTGGCTACACGAAATTTACCCAGCAGGATAATTACCACCACACCAGTCGAATCCTCTCTGCCCTGCATATGCTCTGCTGTATCCACCGGTTTATGAGTTTGAGTGACAGGAAAAATCACCAAAAGTGATGCAAAAGCAGTTTAAAATTCTTGTGAGACGCATCCAATTCCAAAGAAGACACAGAAAGACTGCTGGGTTGGTGAGATGAGAAACGCCCAAAGTGACAGAGTTACGCGTATACATTATTTATTGAGAAACATGTCGTTCGGTAGGTAGTGGGGCTACCTAATGGCGAATGGCTCTCCTCTTTTCGCGAATGAGAATCCCATTTGACGGGATAATTCACTTTACGGTAAATCCTTATCCGACCATGAAAAAATTATCCATTGATTGAATATTTCATACCTTTTATATGACGTAATAATACCAATATTTGTGTACTTCCACTGCCTTGCTGACAAATCCGAAATGGGAAACGGGGTAATAAAACAAAAATCCATCAAAACCGTTGCATAAAAAGTTTCGACATGTTTTACGACTTAATTCATGCATAAAATGTACCAAGCCAAAGTCCAGGCCAAGCTAAAACTGTTTAAAGTCTGTGTTAAATTCAGGTTTAATCTCTCTCCTCTTAAGAACAAACAGATCAAAAGGGGAGTTTTATTGAGAGGTGACGAGCCATCCAGCCAGCCAGCCACCATTCATTTACTGCTTCAGATTTGAAGCGAATAATGCAATTATAATCCTAGGAACAAACTTGAATCGAGTCTTTAGCGTGGAAGAGTGGTGGTGGTGGTGTTAATCTGTGCAAAATTGAGGAAATGCGCAGACTTGATCTCAACATCATGACTGCTCGTAATAATAAAACAAAATACCTTAAAATCATAAGAAGTCGAGGAATGTTTCCTGACTCGGGGATTGCATTGGAGGAATTATTGCGTGTTCAGGTGAAGAGTAAACCTTGAGCTAACCAACCTAAGCTAAGATCATGCATGAAATATGAAGGAATCCTCATCCATCTCACCACCACCGCTACACGACGCGTCCACCAAGACACAACATAATAATCATAACAAACAAGTGCATTTCCGTCCTCTTCCTTTGGGTGAGATTTGCCAACTGCGCGTAAGAAGCGGAGAGGTAAATAAATATTTATGTGGGTAGGTGTTGGCTAGTCCTCTCTAATTCAATCTTGTGAATAACTGGATTCTCGGCCAGAGTGGAGAGTCGTGGTACTCGGTTTAAGGCGAAAAACCAATTGAGAATCTTTGACAAACTTTGTGTTTTTGGCCAAATTATGGATTTTACATGAATGCAATCATGCATCGAGAAGGGTGCAAAGTGCAGATTCGTGTGGGTACAAATTACAAAATTCGTACAAAAATCAACCACGAATGAACCTCTACGGACCCTCCCCCTCCTCTTCCTCGTCCTGACCATGACATTAGCCATAGGAAATTATTTTGAAAGAAAAATGTGCACAATTTCGCCCCAAACTCACGACAGCAAAATAATTCACACTTGAGAAGAAAAAAAAAGTAAATTCCATTCGCACTTTTGCACTCTAAACGACGGAACGGAACAATATCGACAGAGAATCATAATAATTCCGTACGTACTCCTCGCAAAAGTAGGTAGGTTGAGATGTAGGAGATTCCGACTTCCTTTCGCTGTTAGAAAAACCTTATCTTTGTTGCCTTGATAAGTGAAAAATTTTATTTTCTATGAACCAAGAAAATAATTGACCTTAGCTGTTAGCATTGAATGGAATAGAAATCCAACTCCACACAGTAATCAATGCACAATTAACTACCTTATATATTGCTCACTAGCACACTTATCTACATTACGACAAGACTTGCAGTTTCATATTCTCATTAGTATCAAGTCTGTGCTTATACAGTGTGTAAATACAGTGTGGCTTTGCAAACACCACTCTCCTGACACCATGCAACCATAATCTGCAGAGCCTTTTCCATTGTTCACGGATGACATAAGGACGCCAGAGTTATCAATCATCACCAAAATCGAGTACGTATTTGCGTACAGAGTCCGCATGCATGCCTCTACTCATCCACAATTTCACTACCAGACACAGCCAGCAGCACAATAAAACTATTAGAGAAGGGAAGGAATAATGAAACCAAATCCAATTAAAGGGCTGCTGGCTGTCCAATCCATCCAAGACTTTTGTGTGTGTGTGTGCTAACTTTGGTCCAATCTAATCAATCCACATCTCTCGCATGAAGGAAGGAAACGGCGAGGCATTTTTTCCCAAGGCAGCATTGTTTTCAAGTTTATCTCTCTCGTAGCCACTTAATCTAATTATCGCTTAGCCTGGGTGAGCATTTAAACATTTCTATAAAGTCGACTTATCCCAAAGATAAGTGTCATTGTCGAATCACAACATAAATTTTGCTAAGAGGTGTGTTCCTTTAAATATTATTATTGATTTGCTTCGATTGCACTGATATGCCGGTTGTTCATTGGTGTGAAATTGGGTGTAAGGACTTTTGTCGTTGCATAATGGTCACTGATCGCGCATGACCATAAGTCTTATTTAATATACTTTGCATAATGGAATTGAAGGTCTCGATCACCCTGCTTTGCGTGGAAGTGGGTGTGGTAGCCTTTTGGCAGAGTAGAAGATAAGCAGACGACCCTTACCTGATGGGGTGAGGGACGTGTCCAACTTCCCACTGCTCGTCGTGGTCGTCGACGTCGACGTCGCCATGTGCTGCATGCTTCTGGGGGCGATTGGATGTTGTGGAGGGATCCCGACTACGACTCCGCCACCATTTTCCGATTTATGGCTGTTGTTGTTGTTCGACCCCATCCCCGAGGGGGACAGAGTTCGCCTGTAACGACCCTCATAGCCCAGGGTCCGTTCCTTCCGTTGCGCCAGGTACGAGTCTTTGTGGAGGTAACTGCTCCTAAAAAAAGGATAGAAAAAATATCATCGCATTTGAATTTGACAAATTATTGCAGCCCAAGACATGCAGGACAATCTCAACTCGCTCGCTATTAACCAACTAATTTTGCCATCACATCATTCATCACATTCACATGCATCGTACACCACACTGCACTGTGTAATGTAATAATACTGCCTTTACAAAACAGTGACAACTTAAATGCCCACAAACGTTAAAAAATAAGGCGAGACGAGCGTAGCGTCCAATGGGGAAAAACGATGGTCCTCTCATTCACGCCACTTCACTCGCTTCTTTTCGAATCATTATTGCACAACAATTCCAAACTGCAACTTTATTAATTCGGGCAAAAGTCCACTTCATTGTGGGACTAAATTTTGAGAGAATGATGAGTTGAAGGCATCAACTCGACGCGGCTGATGAAACTTAAAACACAATTCATCAATTGTGCTGCACTTGTCAGCCACCAAACAATCTCGTTAATTTCCATTCATGTCTTTCTTACCAGTGTGCATAATACGAGAGGACGCAGATACGACGTAAGAGACGCAGGTAATAAGCAAGGCAGGTATTATGCAGCCACATGTACATGCACAAAGAAAGAATTAGAGCTGTGTGCAGCAGAAAAATGCAAATGTTTGCAAAATTCTGTTTGAAAAACGGTTCCAACCTAAGTAGCTCAACTCCCAAGTACTCGAGTGTCATTTGCAGCGTGTTTGACAGGCAGCAAAGAATTCCACGGCTTTTTGTCAGAAAAAGAGCTCAGGACTCGAGTCAAGAGAGAGAGGATTGAGCCAACTGATGTGCAGTTTACGGTTAGTTATAAGAAGAAACATCACACAATGGAAAATGGGGGAACAAACATTTCATCCCACGACGACGACGACGACGACGACGAGATAAATCCCATACACACCACTTCGGCAACATTTGGGAAGAAAACATGACAAAATGCAACAGAAAGATTTTCCCTTTGCCTCACTAACCACGTACATAATCCAAATAACAAATCCATTTTTTGCTTAGAAAAGATAGAACTTTGTAAAGTTTTTGGTTACTGCATCTCTCGATAAATAATGAAATGAGAATTTGCCTAAATTGGTATCACTTAAATAAAAAGTTTGCAGAGATTGACTTCTGTGCAGTGCATACCCCGTGTGCTTATATGACGGCTGATGCTATTGAGCAACACCCACTAATCCTCATCCATTAATGTCCATTAATTTGGTAATTCAAAATACGTAACAAAACATAAACGTCACATGTGAGACACGTGTGTGTGTGCAGAAGCATTATGCGGCTGACATTTGTTTATTGCGAAATAATTAATTCGATTAAAATGATTTTGGACAACTAACAACAAATTTGTTGATGATTAGAACAATTTCTTTTCTGGTTGCGGCGTCCATCTTGATCTTGGGCCAAGGTTTGATTCTTGTGTTCATTGTGTCATTTCTGTGTGGTTAACGGTAATGCGTATATTGATCGTTGCTGATAACATGAATTAGCAATGTAACAAGCCATGTAATAGGGAGCTGGTTGGCTAACAATTTTGTCTCTACTGACCAACAAACAACGAGACATGAGAAAATACGCACAAAAAAGTAAATCTACAAATTATTGCTGTCTCTCAATCTCAATGTTTGAGAACAAAATTCGACACGACGTGAAATTGCACAACGATTTACAAGCAACTAAAAAGCTGTGCGTCGTTCCTGGTTAGAAACGCCCGAATTAAAATCGGTGCATCACACCCTGCTCGATCACCACGTGAGAAATGGTGCTGTAACGAATTGGAATTTGGATTTTGCGTAGGAAGAGATGAAAAGCTTTATGCAACATTCTACAATTTTGAGATAGATGAACCAACGCAGACATGAGACGACGTTGTAACGAGCGAGAAAATGGCCCATTTGGCACTCATCACAATAACAAACAAAATTCCACAACAAATGTCACACACACAGAAGAACCACAACCACTGCAAGAGTGCAACGCTTGATTCGAAATTCCATCATCGTCCAATAAAGAAGAAGAGGAGCCTATTTGCTCGAGCAATAAACTCGCATCCTCCTCCAAGGAATGGTTTGTGGCCATGTGGAAGCCAAAATTGGATTTTTAGAATTTGGGAACAAACTCCTATACGTCATACCCACGCAAATGAAATTGGGGATGTTCACCATTTTCAAAGATTTCAAAAAACTATACATTTTCAAAAGGCCACGCCATAATTGTCCTACTAGGTATATGCTTATTTGTGTGTGTGAGCTGTCGGTTGAATGAATTAATTGAGAGGTGAGGAAGCGTTTTAATCGCAACGTAGACGAAGGAAGGAACATACGAAATGAGGAATTACCTCGGCCTTCCCATCTTACGACTTGAATCGCACTGCTTTATGCAAACGACTTGGTACTCAATAATGGCATGAAAACACAACGAACCTCTTTTTGTGCAATGTATATAAAGCATTCTCAAAGGTGCCAGTGTTAATTGAGCATTTAATGACACTTTTAATTTCAAGCATTACAGCGATATCCACATTACTGCGATAATGTAATGGGTCCGCGTTTGGCATTGAAGACTGAGCACTATGAAAGAAGAAGTTTTGTGTTTTCTGCCGTAAAAAGGTTTCAGGACCAGATGCACAAACCCAGTCATCACATGAGCACAATTTGCAAACAAATCTTTTCGAGGACAAAAAAAGTAAAGGCGAAAAACATTTAAACGAGAACAGCTGGTATGCATAATATGATCAAGATGCATGAGTGCAAAACCTATGTATGTACGACGATAATATGACTTAAGAGTTGGCAACTTGTTTCCAAAGGAGCTTAAAAATTGTTAAAGACCTTACTTCCAAGATTTACTATTTTTTAGAAATTTAAGTAAAAAAGCGTAAACAAACTGTTGGTGCTCATTTTGACATGTTGTTGTTACAAGATAATAACTAAGATGGATGTACAACGGTTCCGGATGTTCTTGTTTAAAAAAATCCTAAAAAGGAGCTATTTTAAGGAGTGCATGCTGATTTTTTTATGCATGTACTCACGAGCGAGCGAGATGCTACATATTGCAAGAATTGCGAATAAATACCCATATCGTCAAGTGGCTGCAAGTCAGTTACTTAACACCTAGCCAACAAATTATTAAATTGCTACCTTGCTACTTTGTGACTAAACTGACGCGTTGTTACCCTACTTACTCCTCTCCTCCCTTTGTTTGCGTGGTGCCAACAATGCAACCAAACCAAGCATTAAAAAAGGAGACACATAAAATCATTTCGTCCATGGACGTGCGAGTCTGTAAAAAACTACCCCAAATTTATTAAATGTTATGGTGGTGGTGGTGGTGGTGATATGAAAATCATAAACTGTTCAATGCCCATCCAACGTCACCAAGTTTGACAGATTTTGGCCAACCTTCTCCCAAAATAAGATTGGATACCAATCAAATTCCTTTTTTGATTTTAAAATTGTTCAAACTGTAAAAAATGACCAAATTTATGAATTGAAACAGATACAAATTTACAAAGTCTATTTAGTACTTTTTTTCATGCAGGGTTTGTCCTATTTACATAATAAGTTAAGAAATAAATAGTGGGATTAGTAAAATTTAGAGATTCAACGAGATCACTTTGCCGGACTTGAAAGAAGCTAAGAGCCAAATCATGCATTTTGATGCTAGAGGAGAGCGAGTGCTATTTCTGGTGGGATTTCCTCATCTCTTTCCATGATTGTATTAACAAGAGGAATGAAATTAGATGAGATTATTGAACAACGGAAATTGAATCAGAGATTTTCTTGACAATTTGAATTCAATAAGAAAACTTTCTGCACTATTGTGCTTCAAATTATGACAGGACATGATGACAACATGCAAAACATGATATCCTATCATATCGCAACGAGTATCGTCGTGTGGGACACTGCATTGTGGGGATGAATAAAATACTCAATTTCGAAATCGCATTGGAATTCGCCCAATTTGTTGAATGCAGGATTGTCATTGTTACAATCATCATTATTGTGCGGATTGCGCATCAAGTATAGTTTTGCATGACGGAGAATAAGCAAAATAAATCACCCACAAGAGACGAATTGAAGAAGATGAAGAGTAATGTTGATGGCAGAAAGAGCAAAATTACTGATTGGGCCTACACACATGCATATTTATGGATCTATCTGTAGGCATGAAAAGAAGGAGAAAATAAAATACACAACTTTCATCTGTCTTAATTTTAAACTAGATAAAATGTAAAAATAGCCCCAAAACAAAATACCTCTTCCGGATACGCAGAGTGTATCCAATCCCCAAAACCATGCTGGTGGTGACTCAATGGAGGTCGTTGATTTTGTACGTATTAATTTTTATTTATTAATATTAACACGCGGCCGAAAGTTCACTGGTTTTTGATCAGATACAAAAACAACACGTTAGAACACTTGGTTAGTCATAGGACGTCGAAGTCGTCGTAGGAATACAGCCCTTCTCGCTTGTAATAACAATTATTGTAATCCACGAGGCTATAAGTTGGATATATTATTATAATTCACAACCATCACAACTTGGTTTTGTTGCCAAAAGTTGGGAAAAGTTATCTACAAACACATCAGCAACCCAAAACACATGTAATTAAGGAGGCAGAGAGTGGATAAAGTGATAAATAAAAAAGGTATCTGCACAATTATGTCATATCCCATTTTTTTCAGATAAAATCTCATGATTGAGAGAATTGGGAGAATCTTCTTCCTTAAAATGTCACATTATCACGAGGAATCGCGTGTGGTCAGACACACACAAAAGTCTGCATGTCAAAATCCATCTCTAAAATGACAACTCCTCCGATCTGACACAGTCACACGAAGAGCAGACACATGAGAAAATTAAATTATAAATTAAATTAAGTTGCTGCGATGACCATTCTCCTTCCACGATAAATCAGAATCAGAAACTCAAAATGGGGAAAAAGGTGCGAAGCGAGTGGATCAGGGCGACTAATA